AGTCAGTATCAAATTTCATCAACAATGTGAGTATATAAAAATTCAGTCTCAGCAAAAAGTAATTAAATAGCCTTGAAACATAAATATCGTAACACTAAAAACAAGTCATTGTGTTTGACGAGAAATCAAAATAAATTCCACCTTTGAATTAATTTAAAAAGATTTGGGAAAGAGTGAGAAATATTACAAAAATTTCTGACACTTTATTAAGAGTAAATATAGTAATTAAAATATTTTTCAAATAAGGAAAATTCGTTACACATACGTAACTATATACAATAAGTGATGACAAGTTGAGAATTAAAAATATATGACTCTAATATACAGGATGTATATATAACAGAAAGATGATATATTATTGTAAATAGTTAAAAAGTACAAGTCCCAATTATTAACATATTATTATTGGTTTAGATATCAATTTATTTATCAATTTAGGGTGAATAGGCATACTAATATGCAATACACTGTAGGTTAGTTTATAAGTCAGATTTATGTAAAGCTATCACTAAAATTGTCTGCAATAAGCAGCTATAAAGGTATTTATAGGTTAAGGTGCATTTGAATTACGCGTAAAAAGTACTAATGCGAACTAAAGTCTGCTTACGGGAGTGCGACCGTTCGGGAAGTAATAACAGTGCGATTTGTGACACTGGAGAGACTCATCACGATGGAGAGACTCATGTTTCACTGTTTGATGTACAGCCACACGTCCATAATCGATGGAGGACTAGACAGCTACATCAAGAAGACAGGAGCAGAAGAATGCTGAAATATACACTGCTACCGATCGATACAACTCTACAAGAAGACGACAACGAAATCCACCTACGAGAAGAGTAACATGCTCATTCATCAATGGGCAAAATAACATGGAAAACAATACAAAGACAACAGTTGTGAAAGTCAATTGTCACAACTTTACAGAAAGCACGTTGAAAAGATCACTAATAAACAATCACTAGAAGAATGGGTAATAGTAGAACAAGATAAAAACATATTTGCTCTAATGCTACACAAAAGGGCTATAATATGTAACACAGAAGTATGGCAAACTGAACACCGCCGAACCCTAATAAATTTCCTAGTAAACACAAAATAAATCCTAGTATGCCACTCCTACCTCAAAACGTAGACCAAATGACCTACATAAATAGCAAATTCCTTTACACCAAACAATCCTACCAAAGAGAAATAGAAAAGCTATACTTAGACACAGTACTACGACGATGCCAAACAAAGAGATGCAGCAAACACATACCAGAGACCAATGTAGCAGAAGTATAATGCGACAAAGCAAAGCAGTAGCAACCTGAGACGACCACCCAGCAAGGACAAACCAATGGAGGCAGACAGCAGCAGTAACGCATCAATATAGTTAACTCGACACGTGGAATTGGCAAACGGACATTAAAACAGCCAAGACGACGCGAGTGAAGTGCGGATAATTCCCACAGGGATACGCGATAAAGTGTGAACAGTGAACGCAAAACGCGAGTACAATCGTATAGAACAATTAGAATACGCTTGTCGTAATGGACACATGTAATCACGAACAATTGTAATAAGTTAGGAAAGTCTTTCACTTGTTAAGTTTCAATAAGATTAATACAAGATTAACTCAACTTGTCATACACATAGGTTCAATACGGGGGCAGCACGATACATTCGCTGACCACGGTACAATAGTCTATAAGAAACAGTAAATGATAAAATATAAATTGGGACTTATATAAAAAATATATATAGTAGATTATAAGTAATATAATATGTAAATAGATAAATTTATTGTTGGAAAAGGAAAAGGCCCCTCGGCCCTTTTCTTTTTTTGCGTAGGGAGTAATGTAATGTAAGCGTAGCAAGTGAGTGAGAAGTTGGAATAAAGGGATAATGGAACAATAAGTAGCATAGAAAAGATAATAATTATTCGAGATAATTATCATATATTCCAAATTAAATAAGGGATAATTAATACAGTTAACTTATACATTTAAATTATACAAAGTATAACAATTGACCTAGTTATGGCATTGTTTGATAATTGTTTAAACGTATAAAAAGCACGAAACTATTAACAACAACAGCCGTGACCCAAATAGACGCATAACGCCAAAACTGCAACTCAGCGAACCTACGACCTTGGTACTAGAACCGGCGTTGAAAGTACGACGACAATAAAACAGAAAGAAACGACGGTAACCAGGTCAGTAGGAGTCAGTCAGTCAGTCAGTAGTGATAACGGGGGCGCCGTAACTGCTCGCCCAGGGCAGTGATCGCCGGACGCGATAGCGTCCAGTACGCGAGACAGTCGGTGATTTTCCGGGGCCGGGTATCTTCTGTCAGAATTCGCGTGTAGTCCGGTTATTGTGGCAGCTCGAAAGTTCGCAACCCTCAACTGACCGAGTTCCAGAAGACTGAACGTGTCGTGGTTGAAGCCCTAATATGCACATAAGGTAACAGATTTCTTATACTAACCTGTGTAATTATATTTGTACCTCTGTCAACTTTTCACTATCTTGCTACATCGTCTCCCGACGCGCAGAATAACGTGTTAACGATTGTATTAGGAACTTCAGGGTAGATTCAATATATTGTTGACTCTAATATGGTTTTTTTAATGTTCCTTCGTCCGACTCACTAGAGACTAGGAGAACACGAGAATTCTGCGTATACATATCTCCGGCTTCAAAAGTAAGCCCATAACCTCTACTCTTTACAGGACCTGAGACCGAGGAGTTCTTACCCCTATCCCGAAATCCCTTATCTTCTCGTAAATCCACGAAGACGAGCCAGCCCTCCAGACCAGTGTGACCAGTATTCCTTGCAGCCGCTCGCAGGGTTAGCATCCCTTGAGGATCTATTGTATTTTACATTTGGTGACAGTCTTTACAGGACCCTATACATAGAAGTCCTTAATCCCTTACCACTCTCGTAAATCTGTCCCAGGATTTTTACAGTAAGAAAGACATGGGTAAATTAAATCTCTTCCATAACTCATACCACTACTGCTTAAGTTTGGAAAAAAATCAATCAAAATCGAGGAAACATACACCAGAATTCACACAACCAATTTCTTTTCTAATTATCATGTACCCCTTGCAAGTACCTTCGTCCAAATCAGCCCTTGGTAATCTATAGTTTATACCCATAAATCAAACATAATGAATGACTAGTAATTTTAAACTTAAACCAAATATTGATCAAGGTTATTATGATATTGTTAAACCTTTTATTGGGTTATTGAGAATTAGTTAAACATGTGTAGAGGGCTTTTTTATTAGAATAAATAATGAAATATAGTAAAACATGATACATTTTAATTTGGAAATGTATTTTCAAACAAAATAGACTAATTACTATTTAACTGGGAATAAGCCACAATTAAAGATAAAAATACGTTTATTGACGTTTCAATTTCCACTTCGGAAATCGTTCTCAAAATACAAACAGTAAATTAAACAAATTTTGTTTTTTGTTACTTAGTGAAAAATTCTTCTAATAATTTAATTTTATCTGACTCATTTATATTGACAATTCAGACATACATTATGCATTTTAAAGTAGACGACTTTAAAATGATATTGCCAATATTGTTGAGTTGCACTCTTGGGACGACTTTACTTATAAGATAGTTCATTCGATTACATGAAATCAACTTTAACTTGAGAATATCCTTCAGAAAAAAATCATAGCATGTAATTTGTCTTTAAAAAGACAAACACATGACATGATGACAGTAAAATTCTCCTATTAGTGTTTCCATAGTAAATTATGAGGGAAAACCAGGAAAAAAACCTCATAATATTATCCCGACATTGTAAGTATTTGTTCGTGAATTTAGTTTACCTTCAACAAACATCAAAATTCTGATTTTATGTTACGTTATTTAAAAAATATAAATAAAAATTTCTATTTTGTCCAAAACCAAACCTAACAATGAACAAGAAAGGACAAAGAATTGCATTTATAAAATACCCTGTGAATGCGATCAGTTTTATTTAGGTGAATCATCACGGCCATTAAATGTTAGAATAAGTGAACATCAATCTTATATTAAAAATAGAGAATTTGATAGATCTCAAATATGTAAACACGCATGGGATAATGAACATAGGGTTCAATGGAATAATTCAAATGTAGTTCTAAAAGAAACGGATGGTAAAAAAAGAAAAATCAAAGAAGCGGCTCTAATTATGCTAAATGAGGACAATTGTGTCGCAAATTTCTCGGCAGAATGTAGTAGGATCTGGTTACCAATATTGAAAGAGGAAATTATTAATAAGAAAATACGAGTATTAGTAAGTCAGTAACATATAGAGGATACATCATTTATGTTTTTTAAATAACGTAACATATAAAATCAGAATTTTGATGTTTGTTGAAGGTAAAATAAATTCACGAACAAATACTTACAATGTTGGGATAGTATTATGAGGTTTTTTTTCCTGGTTTTTCCCTCATAATTTACTATGGAATCACTAACAGGAGAATTTTACTGTCATCATGTCATGTGTTTGTCTTTTTAAAGACGAATTACATGCTATGATTTTTTTCTGAAGGATATTCTCAAGTTAAAGTTGATTTCATGTAATCGAATGAACTATCTTATAAGTAAAGTCGTCCCAGGAGTGCAACTCAACAATATTGGCAATATCATTTTAAAGTCGTCTACTTTAAAATGTTTAATGTATGTCTGAATTGTCAATATAAATGAGTCAGATAAAATTAAATTATTAGAAGAATTTTTCACTATGTAACAAAAAACAAAATTTTGTTTAATTTACTGTTTGTATTTTGAGAACGATTTCCGAAGTGGAAATTGAAACGTCAATAAATGTATTTTTATCTTTAATTGTGGCTTATTCCCAGTTAAATAGTAATTAATTTACAATGCCACAAGAAAATAGCTTCAAAATAGACTAGTAACATAACAAGCATGCTCCTTGTGGAAGCTTTCACTTTTATAATTTCAAGTATTACTAAAAAAACTATAGCTTATGGCTGTTTATATGATAATGGGGAACAATGATAAACACAAAAAGATTATAAAACATTTTATTATCATAACCTTTGCTTTTTTCTTTCTAAATATTCTTGAACATTGTCATATTTTCTTTTATAAAGAACTGCCACAGCATTACTATCAGCAAATTGTAATAAACTTTTATACTTTTGATATAGTTCATCAAATAAAGGTTCAATACTCTCAACAAAATTATTATCAACTAAAGTATATTTGGAAAGCCTATCACTTAAAACAAATAAATTATTTTCAAAACAAAAGCTAAAAGGTGATAACACTTTTAAAGTTTTAACAAGTGATGAATTAAAATTTGATAAGTCTACTGAATACAACTGTATATAATCATATTTATAAATTGACACAGCTACATATAATTTTTTATCAAGATGTAACTGCATATCAGTAATAGGAAGAGCAATAATTTCAACCTTTTCTTTATTCATTTCCTCACAAAAATTTTGCAACAAATTGTCTTCTTCAATATATGAATTTGTATCTATCAGAGCCAACTGCTTTCCTTTCATGAAGTCCCAAAACCTTATTGTACCATCTCCAGAAGCTGACACTAATATATTATCAATAATGTCAATCTTTGTAACAAACTCGGTGTGTCCTAAACAATAACTGACTATATTATAGCAATTTGGAAAATGGGACACCCTGATTTTTTCATCCCTATCACTAGTAATTATATATTTCCCACATTTACTAATAATAATATCCAAAACAACACTTAAATGCCCCAACAGCATCACTGGTTTGTTGTCTTCATCCTGTAGTTTGTATAAATACACATCACCAGTTTTATCAGCTACTACTACATCATTTGAAGGTGTAAAACATGCTTTACTTGGAGAACGATTAACTACAAATTGTTTAATCACTTTAAAGTCCTTGTCGTATATAACAATTTGTTTATTTTCCGTTGATACTAAAATATACTCTTGAGAAGCTGAAACTTCTAGGGAAGTTATATTTTTAACATCATAAGGAATGGTCACTTGGACATCCGTGTAATTGTTTAAATTAGATCGAATAATCTTGTTAGAATTAGCAATAAACAAATCAACATCAGTTTTCTTTAATAAAACCATTTTAAAAATAAAATAAATATTTACACGAGTTTATTCTTAACATAACCTAAGATTTTTCTAAAAAAAGTTTAAGTTTAAATTTCTTCCACATTTCTTCTTTTTTGCGGTATATTACCAGGTGGTAAAATTTTAAAATAATATTAAATGACATATAATTGAACTTTATTTGTATTAGATGGCAGCCTAAATTGGTATTTGTTTAATTAGAAATATCAGGATTTAATTTAGTTATCAATTCTTATTCTGTACAGTGTTACTTGTTTCAACCTATTTGAGAAATAAATTATTATTAAAAGAGAAGAATATAATACTGCTAACTTCTTGTAACTGAATTTAAATGTACGTGTGTTGTCAAAGTCAAATATTTTGACAAATGTGTGAAATAATTAAAATTTGTTTATAATTCTTAAATGATTATTTATATTGCTTGTAAGTGTATACAATGGCGTTATATCCGAACGCCATACGCCAAACATTACGGGAATGGGCACCTCTAACTGAATTGTTTGCTAAATTACCAACAAAACACCAAAATGGCATATTTTACCAAGAAATTAAACTAACTTGTATTGATGTTTTACCCGAATTTATAGCTCTTGGAACAAATTCGGGAATTGTTTACTGGTTCGATAGAAATAAAAAAGATATGCAGAGACTGAGATGTGAAGTAAGTTGAAAATAATATAACAATTTATGAAATTTAAAAGTATTTGTTTATTATATGATTTATGAAATTTTGGAAATATTTTTGTGGAAGTGCGTATTTAACTTATAGTTCAGAGATTATTATATTGATGAGTGTACTGTGTACCATATTTTTTGTTCAAGGATATATCCAAACATATATACTTATTGATTTGATATTTGTTAATCACAACTAAAATGTTGGAAAAACTGTATGCCTCCAAATAGGAAAATAAATATGTAGGTATTTCAAAAGATCTATAAAAAATAATATTTAATATTTAAAAAAAAATTAGTCATAAAATTAAAATAAAAAAAAATAGTAGGTACAAGTTAGAAATAATATTTTTATTGAAATTGTGTAATCATATCTTGCACTCAGTGTTAGGAAAATCATAATAGAATAAATATTTAACAGTATGTTGCAATGAAATGAAAAAATCATCTTATCAACTTTAGGAACAAAAATTCCAAAATACATCAATTTTTAGTTTCAAAAGAACATTCTTTTAGATTTTCAATTGAATATGCTTCTTTTAGTTATTCATATATTAATATTAATAACTTTAACAATTTCTGGTTTTTCCAATGCCAAAAAAAAAAACATACAAACAGATAACTTTACAAGTAAGAACTTACAGCTTTATGTCAATAACAAAATGTTGTTGTTATCAAAATTGTTATGTTGAAATTAAACTTATTTGATGTGCCCAATATAAATGGTAATAATAATTAAACACATTGATTCAATAGATATTTTTATTAAAATGAATGTAAAGCTGGGTACACACATGCTAGTAAATTGGGAAAGTAGTTGGCATAGGCTAGTAACTGGCAATCACAAAACACATTTGCTAGTAATTGGCATGCCAGTAGCTTGCTTACCTATACTGGCAAGGTGAAAAAGCATTGTAGATTGTTACACATGCCAGTGCTAGTAAACAATCAAGTGGTTTTCATCTGAAACTAAAGTACTTGTTTTGCAATTAAAAGTTATTGAGTTTTCAACAAAAAAAAAATCCATGGAAGGTATTCGGAATGAATTTAACAAGCAAACATTGCTAATACCCACAGATATTGTTAGAAATTTAATAATGAATCTGAAGCAGAACTCAAAAAAGAGCAAAATTTGGGTGAGAAATTGGGTTGGTAGGTGAGAAAATTTTGGAGCAATTTTAATTTTGGCCTTTATCTCCTTTATAGTAATACCTTCACCCATTTTCTCTTGAATTTTTGTGTAAGCATTGTCACAAGCTATTTTATTTTTATATAGAGATGATTTAGAATTCAAAAGACACTCCAATTCTTTATATATAGCAATAAATTTGATGGTTTTTTCATCACCCCTACGAAACATGTTCTAAATTTATAGTTTAAAAATAAAACAATTATTTTTATCACTAACACAACAAATCTGACAAATATCTGCTAGTTACTGGCATGCCCAAAGCGGTAGCGCACATTCACACATGCCAGTGACACTCCCCACACAGGCGCCTTGTACCTCACAGCATGATACTAGCAAGAAAAATCAAATTCTTTGCGATTAGCTAGCATGCCAGGAACTAGCATGCCAGTCATGTATACACTTGCCAGTTTGGGGACAGTAGCTGGTACTTGCTAGGTACTGGTATACTATTGTGCTAGTAACAGGCACGTGTATCTCTGGCTTTAATAATTTATATTCTTATATTAATTGGTTGTAAAGAGACAGAACAAAGACCATTTAGAGGTTTGAGCCTTTGCCAAAAATAAATCTCTATTATTATTATTCTTCTTAGCTCAGGTGAAGCACTACCCATCTTTTGCTCACAATAATAAATCTAGAGATAATGCAAGGGTTTTAAGACGACATTTTTAAAAGACAATAAATATATTAGGGATTCTGACCATGATGAACGGCATGTGGAATGCAATCTTAGATTCCCTTGCCAAGTAATTTATCAAGCTGTTTGCTTTTCAAATTTTAGAAAGCACAGTGGTTAAGATTTGAATTCGATTTCGCCAGGTAGAAATCATATGATTTCTCTTTTTGTTTTTGTTTTTTTTTATTAATGATAGTTTTTTATACAACCATAGGCAATTGTTGTGTGCGCATATACATGTCTAATTCAAGGAGCCCGTTCCTTGATTAGGACACTTAGCATGTTTTTAAAAATATTATTAACAGTCCATATTATGAGTTTTGCATCACCAATATAGTAATATAAATAATATTTCATTTTTTACAAAACAACGAACAAAGCAGAAACTATGCAAATTCATAAAAAATGTCCCATTCATGATGACTCTCCCCTACTCTCTTGATCTCAAATAAAGTGTACCTGTCAAAAATGCTAAAATATGAAATATATTGCTTTGTTTGTTACATGCAATTTTTTATGTCATTTTTCTAGCTTTTTTAATGTAACATAATGCAACCTTAGTAATTTGTTTGAAATTGATGTGCATTAGCCTTATCAAACTATAATCTATTATTAACCTTATCAATATGTAATCTAAACATATATAAACCAATTATAAAATCCTTGGAAACATGTTACAACTAAAAAGTGTAAACACTGATTATGTATTAGTATTAATCTTAAACATTGATAAAATAAATATTTGTAAATTAATATAAAATATCGTATGTTTCTAGGTTAGTAATCCCTCTTATCTGTAAAATTATTTTATATTGATGAATAATAATTGATGAGTCTATTAAAATTAATGTACAGTTAATAGTATTTAACTCATATTTGTAAATAGAAATCATAAATACCATAAATCTTCTACAATTAATACTTTTGATATTTTGTGTGTCCATGAAGTATGGAATAAATTCGATATTTCCTAAATGAAAAGATTTTTTTAAATAATCTTATTTTTTTATTGGCTTTGGATTATTGATCCATTCAGCCACGATATATAATAAATACTGTTTGCTACAATATTAAATACTATATACACATGCGCACATATATACTTATGCACGCACATACATATATAGGTATTGTTAAATAAAAAAAAATACAAAAAGGAAGTGGAAACATTAAATTGACCTCTATTTAAACTCTTCATTCAGGACCCTAACCAACTTAAATTAATTTACAAATAAGAAATATACAAATAATACTAAATGCTAATAATTAATAATTGTCACAGCACTAAGACATAAACCCGGTTCAACACCTCGGAGGTTTAGGCCTTCTTTGCGATTGTTTTTTTTTTCTTTTTTTTAATTTTTTTTAATACGATTTTATATATATATATATATATATATATATATATATATATATATATATATTTTATTTATATATTTTTTTCTTTTTTTGTTTTTTTTTTCTTTTTTATTCTTTTTATATCCATATATATTTTTTTATTTTTTAAATAACAATGTTCGTATTTTAAAGAGAGGTACTTAATATTACATATGTGTTTGGCGTTTGTTTTGCGCTAGTAGTTGTCTTCTTTCCGTCAATAGCTGTTTAGTTTCATTGCTTATTTTGTCTTCTTTAGTCCTTGTTTTCTTTGCGACCTGTACTCCTGCTGCGAGAAGATTTTTATTTAGGTTTTTATTAATCTCGTCAATTTGATCTTGATTATGTGAAGGATCAGATTCGAATTTATCCGCTAAGACCTCTCGGAATTGCTCTTCATTTGTTCTTAGTTTAAAGGCATCTATCCTCGTTGTTTTTTTTTAAAAACCTTTTTCTTTCTTCTTTCATGTTAACATTTATTTTTGCTCTGACTATACGATGGTCACTGCCCGTTGTTACGTTGTTTATTGTTGTGACGTCTTCAAATATTCCTTTGTTGTTTGAGAGAAAATAGTCTATTTCATTTTTGGTAGTTCCGTTAGGTGCGACCATCGAGCAAAAAAACAAAAGAGGGAATGTAAAGGTAGTGGGGGCAAAAATATTGTTAGATAGGAAGTGCGATCTTTAGAGGCCACATTAAACAAGGAAAGTCTCACTCCTTGTTTGACATCAAATTTAGTTGGGTTATGTTATTGTTTGTCCCAAATGTCACATGAAATCTTATTTATATTGAAGTTTTTTAACAATTGTGTCGCATTTTAGACTATTACCGTTAATAATTAATTAAAACTTTCTCGTCTAAGACACATTCTGAAAAATATTATATAGTTACTGTTAATAAGTGTCGGAAAATTTAAATTTGGCGCATTCGCATTTCCGGATATGTCCGCCATCAGAGGCCACTTTTTTGGTCTCCTTTTCATAAGGATTAGATTCCCTCTTTTGTCTTTTTGCTCGATGGGTGCGACCCATGTCCACTTTCTGTTAGGTTTCTTTTTGTAGAAGGTATTCATAACATACATATTTTCTTGTTCCAGGAATTCCATGAGTTTTTCTCCTCTTGTGTTTCTTGTGCCGAATCCAAAGTTTCCAATCTTGCTTCCAGAGTCTTCAATCTTACTTCCAATTTTGGCGTTAAAGTCTCCCATTATTATTATTTTGGATTCTTTGTTGTTGTCTATAGCCTTTTTTTAACGTCTTCGTAAAAAGAATTTATTTCCTCATCGGTTGCTTTTTCAGTTGGAGTATAAACTTGCACGATCTTTATTTTAGTTTTTGGATTTAGTTTTAAGACCATGTATGTAACCCTTTCTGATATGCTGTCAATTATTTGAATTTGAGATTTTCTCTTCTTGTTTATTAAGAAACCTACTCCACTGTATGTGTAGTCTTCCCTGCCTTTATAATAGAGTCTGTTGCCTGAATGTAAGTCCACATATCCTTCACCTCTTCTTTTAACGTCTGATAGTCCCATTATGTCCCAATTCAAGTTCCCCAATTCCTCTTCTAGTTCGTAGAGTTTTTCATCTTTTGCCATGGAGCGGATGTTGTATGTTGCTATATGGAGTTGTTTGTTTTTCTTCTTTTTCAATGTCGACTTACCCCCCCCCCCCAGAATCCTCGGGGCAGACCATTGTTACGGTGTGGGACTGTGGAATAGAATTCCTACCCACCTGGGGTACCTTCCGTGTTTCTGTTATAATCGACATGTTTGGTTTTGGAGGTTTTGGCCATAACCCACCACGCTGGCCAGACGGGTTGGTGGGGAATAAGAATGTGTCGTGTCCACCATTGTAACCGAGGTTAGCGGCCTACTCAGTTCAGCCAACAGCCCTCGGAAAAGATGGGTCGGCACCACTCATTCTTAATGGAATTTCATTTCCTTAATTCCGGGTGTTACAGTTATACCGCTGATACTCAGTCGTCAGAGCCTCGTTTGTGATATCAGGGTTTACCAACGTGAAGGTGAGGTTGACATTTGAGTAGGAGAGGCTGTTTGAGACGCATCACTACCCCCAGAAACCCCATCATCATCAGCGTATTGTATTATAATAAAACTGTTATTTACTATGGAGACATTGTGCAAATCAGATGTATATACAAATAAGAGATTGTAGATTAAATAATAAAGGGTCAAAACTGATCCTGTACCTTTTTAAATATACCTTACCTTATACCTTTTTTAAAATGTCGAAAGGAGACTTTACTCTTGAAGAGCCCCAGCAAATGGATCTAAAAAATAACAGAAGAAATCAGATAGATTACATCACTATCAATGAGCCTTTTCGAATATAACAACATGTTATGGTCATCCGTTGTACATGGTTGTAGTAATAATAAATTGTAATAAATGTTGTGGATGTGTAGAAAACAACAGTTTTCTGTCTTTTATGCTCACATAAAATGAACATCCATCAAGTAGCGGTCTAAACCATCACTTATAAATATTTTTGTTTCAGAACAACATTTCCATAACTGCCTTAAAAATTATCTCCACAGTAGATTACATGGTAGCTTGTGGTAATGCAGCAGGCAACATCAACATCTTCCAGATTCCCAAGTCATACCCTGATAATTTACCAGACAGTTTGAAACCCAAAAACAAACAAGTAGAAAGGTATACTGTAGCTGGCTTGCATAAGGCTTCAATAAGTGCAATCGATTGGTCAAAGAATGGAATGAAATTATTTTCAGGTGATAAAAACGGCGGCGTAGTACTCACGGAGATAGATTTTTATATGGTAAGATGGGTATTTGGTATCTTTTCTGTATTTTGGGAAGTTATATTTATGATGCTACTTCCGTCATGGAATTTGAAAATTAATTTTGTTTTACTGCGTTTTATTGGTGAAATCTATAGTACACAAGGTTTAATATCGGTATAGCCCAAGATAAAAACTTATATATAAATTTCATTTTTCTATAAATTCTATTTCAAAGGACAGGTTTTGTTTTATCTATTATGTTTTCCTGTTAGCCCAGAAAGGATGTGTTATTAGAGTTTGTTGCAGTAAGTCAGATTTTAGATATTGGTAGAAATATATTGAATGATATTTGATATGAATAATTAGCATTTGAATATGCTACAACTGAAAAAATGGGGAAAATTAAAAAAACAATTTAGAACGAAAAATCGACGTTACATACCCTAATTTTCAACTTTTTATTCTGGATATCTCAGACAGTATCATATCATTTTTTACTAATTAGTAAAAAAATGTCGGGATTGAATTTAAAACTATCAAAAAAAGTTGTAAAAATAAATTTTGGTTATTTGCTTATGGGAAATAAAAAACATTTAAAGTTTTTGCATACTTGGATGTAAAAAATTTCTTGGTTGTATCTAAGTAATCATAAATCTCTAATTGTTACCTATAGAAGAGTTAAATACATTTTAAATAGTTTTTTGTTTATAAAAAGTTATACTATCAAAATATTTATACAAAACAGCGACAACAAAATGATGTGGAAAACACTTCATCGCAGGCCATATAAATTTGCAAATCTCAAAATGCTTTCCATTCTCGTATTAACTTCATAAAAGAAGGAAACTTTGGATTCATCGATAAATCTGGATCCGTTGACCCCACCAAGAGTTATATTAACCAATAACTGGAAAAGGCGATATCTTCTAGCAAGATTAAGGAAGCCGGATATCTTGAAAGCCATTAACCTTTATCTTGCTTTTCTACACGACCAACCTGCTTCAGTATGTTTTTTGGCTTTCGAAGGACTTCCCACTGAGACTGAAGATCTACAAAACAAGCTGATCTTGCTACTTTTAGGTCCTTCCTCACTTCGGAAAGAATTATTCACATGCAAAAAACAAAGGAAAGTCACCGAAATTACTATTCCGTTGCCTCTCGAAAACGCAATTTTTAAACAATACGACGTGTTCTGAGGGACTAGAAACCTCAAATTATTTTAGTGATGTCAACTTTAGCATGGTTCTGATTAATATTCGTTCTATAAGATACAAAACATAATTATTTTTATCATGAATGTGTTGCTTGTGTGAGTCCATTTCAAATATGTAAAGAAATAATAAATAAGACTTACTCACAATCAATTTAATTTAACTATCAGACGACCGGTTTCGCTTTCTACAATATGCAAAGCATCCTCAGGTCTCGATACAAAGTTAATTAAATAATAAACTAATTAATAATTATAATTTATAATTATAATGTATATAATTATAAAGCACGTGGTGTTCTTGTGTATTAAGGTATATAAAAAATGCTTATTATAAGCTTAAAATTTTTATTTTAAAGAAGATCTTTTCGGAATTGAATCATTCCATCATCAGTTTAATAAAAAGTTGTTAAAAACATTGTATGGCCACATAAAAACATTGGAAGGACATCCGTATTAAAAAACAATCCTCATGGTATTTATAAAGGTAAATGCAATAGACTGCTACCCTGTTGATTAATAAAAACTGAAAATGGGGGCATTTTACATGACCCCCTGTAGCTGGTGAGGTTTTATCGACTTACATTACCTCTGATCTGTGCTGGAGTCTAGGGCTAGCTCCAGAGTCAGAATGATTCAATTCCGAAAAGATCTTTAAAATAAAAATTTTAAGCTTTTAATAAGCATTTTTTATATACCTTAATACATACGAACACCACGTGCTTTGTATTCAACAGGTATACTAGCCATTCCTGGATATCTCCACTTCATGATTTGTTCCAGTTTCACTTTTAATAGTAGATAATTATAATTAATAATAATAATAAATTAATTAATAGAGTACCAGCATCATTTAATTAACTTTGTATCGAGACCTGAAGATGCTTTGCATATTGTAGAAAGCGAAAACGGTCGTCTAGATAGTTAAATTAAACTGATTGTGAGTAAGTCTTATTTATTATTTCTTTTACCTATTAGAATTATTTTTGTTTTTAGAAAATCCGTTGACATTTTCCGCTCAGTACTTCCGTAAATTTCAAAATTTATGTTTGACTTCTAAAGATCTTTTCGCCAGTCTATGACAGTCTTTGGAACTTCCCTTTTTACGCTTTAAGCTTGTAAAGAACAGTATATGAAAGTGGCTGGTCAAAAGTTCCCGTTACGTCCACGAATACACCAACCACAAAGTATCCTTTTTCAAATTGCGCCTCAATTCTATAGATCAGTGCATGTAGCTCTGTATCCGATGGGAATCTCTCTCTATAGGCAATAAAGAGGTACAACTTTTAATGTCGAATGAAGTTGTTGAAGATGTTGAATTCCCTGAAGATCCTCGTAAGAAGTTTCACTAGAAGATTTATACCTTTTTGAAGAAATATTGAATATACGGCATCGAAATCAGGTGATTTTGCTGGTTCGAAGGTATTTTTGGTATACAAAATAAAAACTTGTTTCATGATTATTTTACCCGAGAAGCTTTAAGGACCAAACCTCGTTCCTCGATATTTCGCAAAATATTTATCCTTTTCTCTATTTTTCAAACAAAATTTACTGTTGTCTAAAAGTTTTAGAACAGATCAAAATTTCTATCCTTTATAATATATTCTCATTTGTATCTTGGTTCAATTTAAAAAGTATAAATCATTCTCCTTAATTCCCGTGTTAACTTTTCCTAATTTAGATAACTGTAGAGTAGTTTTTTCTATTTGTATTTGTCATCTTCGTTTATTGAATTTTTTATATATTTACCTTCTTTGTTTTAAACAGTTTTTACCTTTTATTCCTTTTGTATTCTAGAGGTTTACTTTTATAATGAAATTTTAAATGATCTTTGTTTTGTATTTTTTTTTAGCACATATGTAAATCGGTAGAAATATTAAATGAAGCGTACGAAGTAGTTCAGTTAAGTTACAATCAACAGCGACTACTTGTATCAACCACTTACAGAAGCATCATATGCCAAAAATTAGACAAATGGAAGGTGGCTCAGGTGGGAACAAAAGATCGGAAAGTGTAAGTTTGAAATTTTAAATTTATGATTGTCATCTATTTAACTATTTTTTATATGATTAAGAGTGCAGAATTTTTATATTAAGATTGAAGATTGAAATTTAGATATTGATAGAGATAGATATAGGTATATAGGTATAGAAAAAAACCACAGAGAAAATGGACGTGGGTCGCGCCCAATGGTTTAACAAAAAAATGAGATTGATTACATCCTATCCAAAGAAAAGAACATAGTACAATACGTTACGGTCATAAACATGATTTCCGTAGGAAGTGATCACAGAATTGTTAGAGCCAAAATCAAAATTAACTCCACAACAGACAGACAAAAATTTAAACCATCTAAAAAAGAGATAGATACAGAACTTCTTAAAGAACGCAAAGAACAATACATAAACCAGCTAAAAAGAAGTGACATATCACAGTTAAAGGGTTTGCAACTAGACGAATTAAACGATAAAATAACAACAGAACTACTAGAAGCAGGCCTGAAGATTGCTAATAAACAAAAGCGAAAACAACAAAAAATTAGCGCTAAATCACAAGATATGCTAAAAAAACGACGACAACTACTGAATGATAACAAAAGAAATACAGTGGAGTTTGCTGAACTGAACAAAACCATAAGAAAACAGATAAAGGAAGATTTAAAGAAATACCAAGAAGACCGCATTAAGAAAATCATAGAGAAGAACAAAAGTTTAAAAACAATGAAGACAAATATAGGAAAAAGAAAACTAATCATGCTTAAAGCTGAGAACAATGAAGAAAGAGATCTAAGAGAAATAGTAAAAATCACAGAAAGATATTACACAGACCTATACAGTTCTAAAAACGACCCACCACTATCATCTAAACAGAATCTCTCGAGGAAAATACAAAATGTTGGCTCAGAGGTATTACCAGAAATAACTGAAGATGAAATCGAAAAATCCATAAACGACATGAAAAGAAATAAAGCGGCCGGTGAGGACAAAATACTGGCGGAAATGCTAAAAGAAGGAGGAGACACGATAAAAAAAAATGCTAAAAATACTGTTCAACAAATGTCTGTTTGAAGGTAAAATACCTAAACAATGGAGAAATGCCAACACAATCTTAATACATAAGAAAGGAGACCGAACAGACCTAAACAACTACCGTCCTATTTCCCTTTTGTCACAACTATATCAAACCTTCACAAAAATAATAAACAACCGACTAACCTATAAACTTAATAACTACCAACCAGTGGAACAGGCCGGATTCAGGAAAGGATACAGCACATTCGACCATCTACATGCGCTTAAAATCTTAATTGAGAAAACCAATGAATACAACCTTCCGCTGTACTTAGCATTCGTAGATTATGAAAAGGCTTTCGACAGCATTGAACACTGGGCGGTTGAAGAAGCTCTGGTCAATAGTAGAATAGATTCAAGATATCGACAATTGATACATGATATTTACCAAAACGCAACCATGACCGTAATTCTGGACGACAAATTAATAACGGATAATATAAAAGTTAAACGAGGAGTCCGACAAGGTGATATAATTTCACCTAAACTGTTTACCTTGACCCTCGAAGACATAATAAAATCAACAGATTGGGAAAACAGAGGAATATGTATTAACGGAAAATACCTAAATCACCTTAGATATGCGGATGATATACTCTTGATCTCCTCGGAACGACAAGAACTGGAATTAATGCTGAATGAACTTCATGAAAAATCACTGCAAAAAGGCTTAAAAATTAACTTCAACAAAACAAAAGTAATGACAAACACGGAAGACCAAGAGGCAATAAAAATAAAAACAGAAAAAATAGAACAGGTAAATGAGTATATCTATCTAGGACAAGCAATCAGAGCTAACAGAGAAAATCAAACAGCCGAAATATCGAGACTAGTAAGAATGGGATGGGCAGCGTTCGGCAAACTTTCTTACGTTCTAAAAAATCAAACAATCCCTCTATACTTACGAAGCAAGGTATATAACTCCTGTATAATACCGGTGCTCACCTACGGAGCACAGACATGGACATTTACACAGACCAATTTGGATAGGATAAGGAAGGCACAAAGAGCGATGGAGAGACAAATGTTAGGTGTGTCACTTAGAGATAGAAAACGTAACCAGTGGATCAGAACCAGAACAAAGACAGTAGACGCGATAGAACAAGCAGCAAAACTGAAATGGAAATGGACTGGACACAATGAACGTCTCCAAGACGGACGATGGAACAATGCCATTGGAAAGTGGCGTCCATACAATGCAAAGAGATCAAGAGGCAGACCACAGATGAGGTGGAAAGATGACATTAGGAAACAAGGAGGTCCCACATGGCAGAGAACAGCTCAAGATAGGGAAAGATGGAGAGAACTGGGGGAGACCTATATCCAACAATGGAAGGATAGAGAATAGGTTCAAAAAAAATAGATAGATATGTATGTATTGTATGTTAGATATCTAACAGTTTTTGTCACTGTTTATGCATGAAGCAATTTTGGTAAAACTTTTAATAAAAATACACCAATAAAAAATATGTGGAATCAAGTCAAACGTTTACAAAACATTTTAAACCACAAATAAATTCAGTGAACGAAGGAGAATAGGTTGAGGAGTTTTTGAGAAAATTATGTCCAGATAATATATTTTCAAAAATTAATGTAATGGACAGGATAAACTCCAATCATCCACTTTCAGTGCCATTTAGTTTATACGAATTAGAAATAAGTCTTAAGAACAAGAAAAACACTTCTCCAGGAATAGATAATATACATTATATTATTATGTTGGTAAATTTACATCAAAAAGGAAAAGAAACATTATTAAAAATTTTATTTTATTTATGGCAATCAGAATATATTCCAGATAATTGGAGAGAGTACCGGGCGATTCCCATACTTAAAGCAAATCGAAATTCTGATTCGGCAGAATCTTATAGAGGTATTTCATTAAGCTCCTGCATAACAAAAACACTGGAAAGAATGATACAACTTGGGCTCGAAAGATGGTTAGAAAAAAATAGTAAAATATCACAAAAACAATTTAGATTTCGAAAAAATCATTCTACTGTGGAAGCAGTGAGCCACTTGGTAAAAGATATAAATTTAGCGTTTACGTCAAATTCTTCAGTAACAGCTCTTTTTACTCTTTTATTATAGTTTATTTTTATGAACGAGAGAGTAATTAGCATAATTTTAACTGGTACCTCTGACCACTCCATGGGCGTGCTCAAGATTAATTGAAAAATTACTTTGAATAATTGTAAAAAATAAATGAATTATTTCAGTGTTATAAAGTGTTATGTGTATGTAAACAAAAGTGACCTCTTTTATCACACACTATATGAGAACTGACTGGCCTACATTAAAAAGGGTTTTAAAAAATTCACATTTTTTTTAATTTTTAAAAATTACAAAAGAGAAAAAAAGTTTTTAAAACCGTCTAAGGTATGTTAAATATATGAATAAAAATATTAATATAAAACTTACAGCTACTTGTTACAAATCCAAATCAGATTCAGAAGATGAACTTTCAGAACCAAGATTTATATTAACTGGCTCGATCATTTTATCAGTAATATTGTCCAGCTTCCACATTTTTTCCTCTTCTTTAATAGTGTGATTTACTGCCTTTTCCCAGTTTTCAGGTTTTACATTATTTACGGCCTCCAAAAACAACTGTTTAACATCATGAATTTTAAAAGTGGTATTTTTTCTTGAAACTTCACTCTTTATCTGTGCCCATACCAGTTCAATCGGGTTTAATTCACAATGATATGGTGGGGATCTAAGTACTGTCATTCCACGATTTTTGGCAATTTCATCAATTTCGTATTTTTTAAATTTTTCTTTATGAAGGGCACACAACGAATAAAGTTCCTTTCTTATAGATCCGGGATGGTACGTAATATTTTTTGAACTCAGCAAGTCTTTTTTTAACCACTTGGTTGTGGGCAGTCCTTCTATAAGTCTGGAGTGATAACTTGCATTATCCATTACTATTACACAGTTCTTAGGAAGAAGATCTATCATTTGTTCGAACCATTCTTGAAAGACATCAGCGTTCATGTCTTCATGGTAGTCACCGGTACGAGTTGATTCAAAAGTTAATAAACCACCTTCAACAAAACCGTCTGAACTGCCAATGTGTACTATTATCAGCCTGCGTTCCTTTCCTGATGGTGGGTTTAAACCAGTAGATAAGTTATTTACAAAAGCGTGCCTTTGACTTGTAACAGTTTCATCCTGCCAAAATTTATTTGGTGTATGACCCTCGTTGATCCATGTTTCATCAAGATAAAATATTTTTCTTTTTTGGTTTCTCATTTCCTTTATGGTTCTTAGAAAATGTCTTCTCCATATGACAATATGGGATTCTGGGATTCTTTTTCCAGCGGAAGCCTATTTCTTTTAAAAGTTTCCATAACGTACTTCGACTCATTTCTGGGTAATCCTTATCATCTCGAACTGAGACAAGAACTTTATCCAATGTTGGAAATTCTTGTCTAAAGAAAATTCATGCACTTTCCGTCGAAGTTCTTCTTTAAAATGATATTCTATTTGAAATTTTGGTTTCCCTGGAGCATTACGTGGCATTTGAAAACTACCACATTTCTCTTCTTTAATAACTCTGTAAATCGTAGATTTCCCAAAACCAAGTGTACTGCTAACTAACTCAACGGTCTCATCAACACTTTCACATAAACGTTTGTCTGTAAATGATTTAAAACAATTAAATATTAATGTTTTTTCATTAACTGTTAAAGGACCAATTTTTCGGCGTTTACACGGCACTTCTAAATTTTCCATAACACTAGTATACACAATAAACTGCACCTTGCAACTGAAGTACCTACTTTTAGTGAACTGTTAAGAATTTTGAATACGCCCTTGGACCTTCCTACAAAATGGAAAAACCCACTATCACATTTTCTGTGGAATAAGTTTAGAAGGTAATTATCTAGTCAATTACTGTCGTAGATTCCTGAATTAAAAAATTAAATGTTTGATTGTTGAAACCCTTACTTCGTGGAATGCACTCATTTCAGATAAAATAAAACGTTTTATTTTATCTAAAGAATTAAACTTTATTTTGCAAATAGGTAGGTACTTATTAAACTTTTATTGGTTATATATAACCAATAAAATAAACATCTTACATTTCTTGCAAATTCATTAGTACCTGTTAACCTCCTACACGCCGACACTGGCAACCTTATTTAGGGATTAGTAACCCTCACAACTATTGTATTCTATTCTGCTCCAACCTTTATACCTGGTGGTCATACTCAATTTAAAATTGTTTTCCTATATACTTCTGTAAACTTGTTGACAAATATCTGTTTTTCATTGAGTCACCCGTATCAACAGTTTAGGGATTTGCATACATAATTTATTGTTTTATTACTCTCTCATACATAAAAATACACTATAGATTTTGAATCAGCATACTACAACGTTAATTTAAGTATACTATATAACAAAATGACACAAATAGGTCTTCCCGAATGTTTCTGTCAAAAAATAATAAAACTATATGACTGTAGAAAAATTTATATATCGGTAAATGGTAACACAACAGTCCAAGGCTAGCGATGGATGATTTACCTCACGGAGGAATATTAAGCCCGTTGTTGTATTTAGTTTATATTGCTGATGTAGTAAAAAATTTAAACTTAAAATTATGTATTTTACAAGAAAACGAAAAAAACAGCTTCTCTGGAAAGAACATATAGACAGTATAGTTAAAAAACAGAAAAGGGAATAAATCTTCATCGATTCGTGTCACACTTACGACGGGGAGCAGATCCAAATGTTTCTTTGTTATTATTTAAAAATAATATAAGAGCTATAATTGACTATGGATCAATATTACACATTTTTCTGGTAGAGGTAGAGAGGGTTTAATTTTTTCATCGTGTTTAAATCTTATAATTGGTGATTTAAATGTTACTAGACAAAATTTATAATTTTCAGTCAAATTTGATATTCTTAATAAATGTGAACCCCACGATTTGTTACATAATTTAAACATTTTTAGTTAAATTATGTTAATTTATTCTTTTAACACATTTTGTAAAAATATTTCATGTTTAAATATTTTTAATTTTTAAATTTCTAATTCCTAACCTTAAACATAAAATTTAGGTTTGCGCGAAAAATTTGAATTACTCCTCCTGGTTAAAAAACAGACCATAGTAACCTACAAGTTTTCTACTATTATATTATTTTCTATGCCTACAAGTCGAATGCTGTGAAATGTCAATGGCATCACGAAAAAAAACTTGGCATCAGACTTTCAGTTCGATGGTACGAGAAAAAGTCAAGTTTAATATCCAAAATAGACCAGCTGTTCTTAGCAGACTTAACAGAAAAATATTTAATAAAAAAGAAAACTCCCAAATTACAATATTGACTTTAATACTCTGGAACAAGTTCAGGTATACTTCTTAAGGCACTACAGTAATTTGCCTTTACATTTGAGAAAATTAATGTTTATATTTGACAGTGCACAATTGTTGAAAGATTGTTATATGCTATATACAGATGCATCCAAAAGTATCGAAGGTGTGGAATATGCATACTGGGATAACCATGGACGTATAAATAAAGAATCTTTAATTATACGTCCATGGGGATAACAATAATAAAAACAGTAAAATGTTTAAACTCAATTCCAACATGAGTATATACATAGCTGAATTAATTTATTATTATTACTATTATTAATTATTACTATTATTAAACCACACGCGATGGCCATATTTTAAACGGAAACATATACTCGAATTGAGAAATTTGTGATAAGCTACGACAGAACTGTAATTTAAATTTTTAGAGATTGATAATTTAGTACATTTGAAATAATTTAATCTATTCTTCAACTAAAAGTACGAATAAAATAGTGTATATTATGTCTGTAGTTGCCGTTAATAAATTAAACCTGGTTAATTTTTCTATGCACACAAGATAAAATGTCACTGAACAGCACTGTTTCCGTTTAAAACATGGCCAATTCCGTCTGCGCGAACGAGATGCGCGTAATTAATTTTTCAAGCAGAGTTGGCATTCTGATTGTTTATTATTCTGTGCCTAAACATTGATTGATTAAAAACAAAAACAACGCAAATACAAATATTTCAGCATATTTTACTACGCATTTTTGTGAGATTATTTAACACATGACGATTTATCTAGTGTTTCTTTTTTTATCATTCTTGCATATAAATGCATTATTTATTAATGAACAGAAACTTTTTAGGCTTGGCAATTTTGGAGGTATTATATATCAACATAGTGAAAAACCGTCTGACACATGCTTATATTGTACTAGGCCCGGATTAAGAATGTGGATATCAGATGTTGATGGAAACGTTCAAAAAACATTATTATTTAAGGTAAATACTTATTTATTGATATAGTAATACAATTTTGTTTAATAATAATAGAAAATGGTGTTGGTTTCTGCACATACGATGATCTTTATATAACATATAAAAACATCAGAAGTCATTTCATTTTGAAGGAACACTGTCAGTCGGAAGTCAAGAGTTGCCAACTGACAGACATTTTATATAAATGTCTATGACATAGAACAGAATAGGGTAGAATACGGGAAATAGAACTGAAATAAATGAAAATTTAAAACGAAGAAAAGATTAGTCAGGATATTCAGTAAATAGAAAATCATTTAATTTAAAATAATTCTTATGCATAATTTGGTTACTTTAAGTACATTATAAATTAAATCATTAGTTGTAATTTAGTTGAATTTAAATTAAAAAAAAATTGTTTTTGTACCGTTAAAAAATATTTTAGTTAAAAATGTAATGTCGTTAAATAGATAATTAATTTCTCCTTAAACGTAACAATTGATAGTTTAGAAAATTTTTTAACATAGTAGTTATGTTATTAAGTGTTCAAAATGTGCTCAATTTGTGAGTTGACAGTACCATAATCGATGGTAGAAGGCGTCTACCACATTTCTCCATGATTGTCTAGAAATTATTCGAGATTCATTGATAATTCGTTGCCTTAGCTCTGCAAGACTTGCTGGTTAAGTTTTGTAAACTGAATTTTTCAAGTATCCCTAAAAAAATATCTTTAGGATTAAAATCGGGTGAACGTGGAGGCCATTCAATTCCACCGTGTCTACCAATTTATCGTCCAGGAAATATCTCATCTAAATATCGCCGAACATTTACACCAACTATCTGACGTTAAATTTCTTTCGACAAAAAATGACCCAGTTCAATAAGTAACTACTATATCTGACCATACATTTAATTTTGTGGTCTTTGAGTATAGATTTCACGCATTCAGTCTTCAGTGTGAATTTACGTCACACCAGTACCTTAAATTGTGTCGATTTACACTTCCACACAGTGTAAAAGTTGCTTTATCGGAAAAACATATTCTGTTAACGAAATTTTAATAATTTTCAATTTTATACATCATTACCTCAGTAAACTCTAATCTACGACCAAAGTCATCTTCACTTAATTCTTGTAATAAGTTAATTTTGTATGATTTAAATTTATTTTTACGTAATAAACGTAAGACTGAAGAATGACCTACATCATGTACTTGTGCAACCCTGCCTGGGGATGTATGTGGATCTTCAACAAAACTTTGCTTATATCTGAAGTTTTGTTGTCATTGATAACTCGTTTCGGTCAACCTGATCGGTATCTATCTTTTATTTCTCCAGATTCCTCAAATCGCCTTTCAGTTTTTTGTACCGCCGTCTTATGAATAGGAGAACGGTTTAGAGAACGGAATTTTAGAGAAGCAATTTAAATTGCAGAACTTTTTGAACCACAACTACTGTCAATTTTAGTTCATAATTTAAATATGGCAACATTGTAAATACCAAATATGGAATCTCCGTATCCCAAAATAGGCGTATCTTAAATTTTGTATAACTATGTCTAGTAATTTACGAGATAATTAGCCGTTTCCAGACTTTTGGGCCACTCTCTTTCTCTCTCTCTCTCTCTCTCTCTCTCTCTCTCTCTCTCTATATAATATATATATATATATATATATATATATATATATATATATACTTGTAAATCAGTAAAAATTCAAATTTTTTATCATCTATTATAATTTTACTATAACTGATACAATAATCTGACTCTCCAGGGTTGCTAACATTGCTCCACATTATATATATTTTTTTCTCTATTGATGGGTCTACGGTGTAAACATTTTATCGTGTTCTAAACATTTCAGGAACTACTTACAAAAGAATGCCCAGAAGTGCCGCTCATAAACCCAATATCAGTGAACCTAAAACGATTAAAGCCTCAGAAGGAATCTGCTTTTGGAATACTACTACCATTCAATGAAAAACTTTTAGTTACTTATAACAACGACATTGTATACATATTAGATCCCAAGGAAATGACCATCATAGCTACAGTTAGTCATCTAAGGGGGTAAGAAATAATAAAGCATTACGAAGTTTTTTATTTTGTTTATATAATATTTTGTAGCGTTCTACATGTTGCCACGCACAGAGATGAAATTTTCATTTTAGAAGAAGATAGGAGCTTAGTTAGGATATCATTTAGGCCGGAAACAATGGGTATGCACGAATTAATTTTGATTTTAATGAATATTTTACTCCATAGCTTCCATTTTTATTTGTTAGCTGTTTTCAGACAAGTAGTCTCACAACTGAATAGAATGTCTATTCCTTCTAATTTGCTTACGATGTCTTAAATACTATTCATTTTAAAAGTTTAAAATATTTTATATCTTTAATTTGAGAAGAGACTTTTCTATTTTATGTGCTACCACCATGGCCGCCATGCTATAGGGCATGTTTTAGTTCTTTTCTAAACTTGATAAGACCGGGTCCTCTACGAGACATTAAAGAACGGGCAGTATCTAAAACTACCTGATTGAATGGTTGGTGAAATCTAGCATACCCTATTCCTCGAACTCAGTCCCAGTCCCTGAACTCAGATCTACTTAGTACTATTGTGTAAAAACTGTACTTAGGTACTCTGCTTTTGAATAGAAACAATGTTTTAAAATGTGTGATTTAATTTTAAGCTTAAACGATAATAAGTGACTTCATCTGGAAAAAATTATGCAAACCAAAATCAGTCCCATTTTGTATGCTCTTTGTTAACCTAAAACGTTGTACTCTAATAGCAGCTCTAGGTTTTATTGTAATCATGTGAGTTGGTGTTTATGTTAAACTTACTTTTGTTGAATTTATGAATATCAATCAGCGTCTCTCTCATATATGTTATAGATTGAAGGTAGTGACATAATACCTAAATCCAGAAATAAAGGGGTAACAGTGTTCCCTATACTGTGCACTTGCAAGTATCCTCACTACTCTTTTTTTGTAGTTTAAAAATTCTATTTGGGTGATAAGAACCACCATAAATAGTTATTCCGTACTTTAAATGGATATGGAATAATGCAAAGTAGCACATTCTAAGGATACTTTTAGGAATTGTATAAACTAAGTTGCGTATTAAAAATATACTTGTAGCAAGTTTAGAACTTGGGTAATTTGTATGAGCACTTCAATCCAAATTATCGTCTAGAAAGATTCCTAATAGTTTAACACTATTTCCTGAGTATACTTCCAATCAGAACTAAAAATCAAATTTTGATTTTTGTCTTCATTTAGCTTCAGACCAATATGCAAAAGAAACAAAGTGAGTCGTAATATCGAATCTTGAGGAACCCCATATTCGGCAGTGTGAAAATTAGAATAGGTATTTATTTAATTTAATTAACAGTTGTAAAAGCTGTAATTTAATTTAAAAAACTGCCTGTTTACTGTTTGTTAAGTATGATATAAATAGATTAAGAGCGTTTCCCCTCTTATCCTTATAAATCCTATTCTCATAAATGCTGAGCCTGTTTAATTCTGTAGTATGATCATTTGTTTCATTGATCAAAGTTCCTCAATATGTGATGTATAGTAATTAGCATATATTTCGTTTTTTAGCGTTTATAGTAATTTCCATCTCAGCACTATTCATACTTTCGATTAGATATTCTTCTTCTTCATGTACCATGTCCTTTCAGAACGTTACCATCATAGCTATCTTAATTTTATTCACTGCCACCCTAAATAGCATGCTTGTATCAACACCTTTCCAATCTCGCAAGTTCTTCAACCATGAGGTTCTTCTTCGTTCTGGACTGCGTATGCCTGCTATTTTTCTTTGCATGATATTTTGTAGCAACGTATATTTGGGACCTCTCATTACATGTCCGAAATACTCCAGCTTTTTCTGCTTGATACTTTTTATGATCTCAATAGTCTTGCTGAGATGTTCTAGTATTGTGGAGTTTCCAATTTTCTCCACCCAGGAAACTTTTAAAATTCTATAGCACCACATTTCGAAAGCTTTAAGGCGATTTAGATCGATTTTATTCACAGTTCAGGGTCGACACCATAAGGTAAGACCGAGAACACGTAACAGAGAAGTAGGCGGATCCTCAATGCCAATTTTAGGTCTCTGTTACATAACACCTTGGACATCCTTCTAAAAGCATCTCTAGCCTGCTCTATCCTAGTCCAAGGTAAACGATTTTATCAACTTGCTCAAGTTTGGTATTATTTACATATATAAACGGTTTTATATGCTGTTGTTTACTTATTACGAGTATTTTGGTTTTCCGTATGTTAAGATCCAGACCTGCCTCCTTACAACTCTCAACGACACTATCAAGTAGTGTTTGCAGATTTTCTTGACTAGAAGCTAGGAGTACTGTATCGTCCGCATATCGCAAATTATTGATGACTTCGCCGTTCACAAGTATTCCTTCTTGTTTTTCAGAAAGTGCTTTTCTGAAAATTCTTTCGGAGTAAACGTTGAAAAGCAGGGGTGACAAGAGGCATCCCTGTCGTATTCTTTTTTTAATATTGAGAGCCTGTGATTCCACAACATCTACTTAAACTAATGTTGTTTGATTCTAATATAAATTTGCAATTATTCGAACATCTCTGCCGTCCAAGCCAATGTCTTTTAGAGTTTCGATCAATATAGAGTGCTTAACACGATCAAATGTCTTTTGGAAGTCAATAAAACAGCACTATATGTCTACAGATATATCTCGACATCTTTGAGCAAGTACGTTCATTCCAAACAGTGCCTCTCTCGTTCCAAACCCGTTACGGATACCAAACTGAGTGTCATTCAGGTATTCCTCGCATTTATTGTAGATACGACCATGTATTGTATTCAGAAAAATTTTCAATAAGTGGTTTAACAAACTGATAGTTCTATAATCAGCATAGGTTTTTGCTGTTGTCTTCTTAGGTAGAGCTTCTTCTTCTTAGTCTAGCCATTCACGTCCACATCTGAACATAAGCCTCTTCAAGTCTTCCTTTCCATTGTTTTTTATTGTACGCTACTTGTAGCCAATTTTTCCCGGCAGTCCTTTTCAGATCATCTGTCCATCTCATAGGAGGTCTACCTCTGGGTCTTTTGTGTTGGTTTGGTCTCCAGGTTAAAATTGATCTGTGCCATTTGTTTAGATCGCTCCTAGCTACATGTCCAGCGTATTCCCATTTCAACTTTAATGATTTTTACACCACATCGGTGACTTTGGTTTTCTGTCTTATTCATGTGTTTGTTTTCTTGTCCTTAAGTGATATACCTAGCATTGCTCTTTCCATCGCGTGTTGAGTGACTCTAAGTATATTCATATTCTTTTTTGTGATTGTCCATGTTTGTGCCGCATAAGTTAATATCGGAATAATGCATGCATCAAAAACTTAAGATCGAAGATGTAATTGAATTTGTTGATTTCTGAGTATATATAGTTCAGTTTACCGAATGCTGCCCAAGCTAACTTTCTTCTTCTTTTATTTCTTCAGTCTGAATTTCCCTATTTAGAATTATTTTTTGTCCCAAGTATATATATTCTTCAACTTTTTCTATAACTTTATCGTTTATTATTGTCACTTCGGAGTGCATGACTTTTGTTTTGTTTAAACTCATTTTCAGTCCTATTTTACAAGATTCGGTATGAAGTTCTACAAGCATGGTTTGCATTTCTTGTAGGTCGGTAGCTATCAGGATTATGTCATCTGCAAATCGTAGATTACTGAGGTAGCGGCCATTGATGTTTATTCCCTTATATTTCCAATTTAGGTTTTTAAAAACGTCCTCCAAAACTAAGGTGAACAGTTTGGGTGATAAAGTATCTCCCTGTTTGACTCCCCTGTTTAATGGTACAGGGTTCGTGTGTTCATTTTCATTTAGGTAGTATGTAGCTGTAGCTTGGTTCATAGTTTCTTTTATTAAGTTAATATATCTGCTGTCTATTCTACAATTTTGCATTGCGTTTATTACGGCCGTGTGTTCTATGGTATCGAAAGCTTTTTCGTAGTCAACAAATGCTAGGAAAACTGGAAACTTGTATTCGTTACATTTTTCTATTAATATTTTTGTGGTTAACAGGTGATCGGAAGTTGAATAGCCTTTTCTAAAACCTTCCTGTTCATATGGTTGGTATTCGTCTAATTTCCTTGTTAGTCGAGTAGTTATGACTTTGGTGAGTATTTTAAGCAGGTGTGACAGTAGGCTGATGGGTCTGTAGTTTTCCAATTTTCGACTATCACCTTTCTTGTGTAATAAGATTACTTTAGAGTTGTTCCAGCTCTTAGGGACTTTGCCCTGATGTAAACAACTGTCCACAAGCTTAGTTACAATTGCAATTAGTTCCTTACCTCCTTCTAATATCATGTCTGTGGTAATTCTATCTTCTCCTGCAGCTTTATTTCTCTTCATGTTTTCCAATGCTGTAGTTACCTCTGAAATTGTTACTTTTGGCATTATTTCTGATCCAAATTTTTTTATTAATTTCCGTGCTGGTCTCATCTCATCATCTTGTTGATGTGATCTGTAAAGTTCTGTGTAAAATTCTTCTATTCGTGTCAGTATGTTTTCTCTACTTGTGATTTCATTTTCGTCTTTTCCTATTAATGATATCATCTGACGTCGTCCTAGTGTCGGTCTGAGGCATTTCATACTCTTATTTTTTTCAATAGTTGTTGTTATTAATTTTTCGTTTTCTTTTCTTTTTTGTTGTCTGATTCCTTTTCTAATCTGTCTATTAAGTTCTCTATATTCGTCGGTTCCCCTTTTGTTAGATTTATTTAAGATCTATTTGTTGTAATACTTCTATGTCTAATTCATTGTATGTTGTTTTTGGTTTTTTCAGTTGCAGAAGGCTATTATTCACTGTTTCGGTAATAAGGTTATTCAAATCATCAATATCATTGGAGTTTATCTGCTGCATGCTAACTTGATTTAATGCATGCACTATGTTTTTATTAAATTCACTATTTTTGATTTCTTCAGATGTCCATTTGTATCTTTTTTCATGTATTCTTTTTCTTTCTAGTTTTTTGTTAATTATTAGTTTTGTTCTTATTAGTCTATGATCGCTTCCTAGGTCAAACTGATTTAATACTGATACGTCTTCTACTAGGTTTCTATTCTTCGTTAAGATATAATCTATTTCATTCTTTGTCTTTTTATCGGGACTCATCCATGTCCATTTTCTGCTTGGTTTTTTATTGAAAAAGGAGTTCATTGAGTACATGTTATGTTCATTCATGAAATTGAGAAGCATTTCTCCTCTATCGTTTCTTTTCCCGTAGCCATAGTTACCAATTAAATGTTCATAATCTTCCTCTTTTTTGCCCAATTTAGCATTAAAATCTCCTAATAGTATTTCGAAATTAGGTAGAGCTATAAACAGTGAATAAGACCAACCATTAGGTAGTTGTCCGCTGGTATAAATGGTATTGAAAAACGAAGTTATAGCCTCTAAAACATTGCTATCATTTTAGATTAGATATTATAGGTCCTTTATGATCAAAGTGTTATCTGCATATCGTTATTATATATCTTATATAAGTTATTAATTGATTTTCCGTTTACTGTAACTCCCGCTTTGATATTATTGAGCATGTTTTTGAAAATTTCTTAAGAATATAAGTTAACAGACCTTCATTTCTTCTGACTTTTCCCATCAATTTGAACGATGGGACTTGGGTTCCAATATAATGTTTAAAATGATTTTACTGCCAATATTCTTATTCATACCTATTGATGTTAGTTTTTCATGTCGTACTCTACAGAAAGCTATTTCGTAGTCAATAAAGCATAGTTACACAGTGACATTTTAATAGTGATGTTTAAAATAATTTAACGGAATTAAAAGAAGTAATCTTAAAATGAATTAACTTGTAAAAAATGTTCTATGTTACGAAATCTTATATATCACCTATATAAATCTAATTTAAACTAATTTTGTTCGCAGGAAGTGTAGCCTCCACCACAACGGACTCATTTTTACCTCTAAATTCATTAAAAGACCTCACATCGAAATTACAGTCTACCAACATCATCCCAGCTATACCTCCAATCGTAGAAAACGTCTTTAACCATGATATGAACGTACACACCGACGAAACTATAATAATGAATGCCGAAGAAGCCCTAGAATCTCCCTCAAGAACTAGCAACATCACTCATGATGTACAAAAGAAATTTGAAGAAATAGGAAAAAAGGAGTTCGAACATAATATTTTATTTAAGAAGAGTAGATATAAGAAAAAGCGAAAATCTTTGGATACCAGTACGAATAGTTTAAGCTCCAATAGTTCCGAAGAAAGAGAATCAAATATTATTAAGCCGACCATAATGAATCTTAGTTCTGTGGGTGTGCTACCTGATTTACGTAGTCCAGAGTCTATTAAATCCGACATAGAGTATAAAGAGAGATTATTAGCAGACATTTTAAGTTTAGACAAAGTTAAAATATCGAATATAGAAGATAATTTAGAATCGAATAATTCTGAAAGCGAATGTGATGATAAAGTGATTAGTTACGAAAAAGAAGAAGAAAATATTCCAAAATTTGATTGTGATAAACTTAAATTATTTGAAAATATAGAACCTTTAAGAGTTAACTACAATCCACCGTTGTCAACACTGCTACCTAAAACGTCAACACACAATATCATAGATAAAAAAATCGATCATATCAAACAAGACGCTTCCAATATGTCAACGCACAAATCTGCAACGTCTCCGAAGATTCCAGATGCCCCAGGTATGTCAGATTTGAAGAAAATGTATCTCTAATACGCATGCCATCCCATGGTTGCTTTGTTAACGCTTTTATATATTCTTTTCCTACTAAATCCGTTTCGCATCAGTAATTATCAATTTAACATTCCGTTAGAGCGCAGTTCATTTTTTGACAAGGTGAACAAAATTAAAACAATAAAATTAGGTTTGTAACAATAAAACACTGAAAACTTTGTTTTCAAATTTTCACAAAAATTCCACAAAAACACTGAAAACAAAGTTTTCAGTGTTTTATTGTTACATAAAATGAATTTTAATCAAGTAACGGTCGAATCCATCAATTATTTAAAATTAGGTTTGATGCAATATGATCAAATTACTAAAGATAAATACAAAAAGGATCTTTTGTTAAAAAAAGTTAAGCAACAAAATAGGAGTATACGTTTGTTTATATGTTTGTTATTTTTCCTAAATTGAATCTTCGATTTATTATAATCTGTTTGTTCTGTTGTGGAGCCAAGCGGGCAACCGCTATTATATTCAGTGCTACTACTGCGTCTACTACTGAACCCCGCCTCTCTGTCGTTAGCAAAAACAGCCCAGGCCATGCTTTTATTACTATTTTAAATTTTCGTTATTAAAACTATGAAAATAGTCAAAGAAAAGGTTATCAGGGGACTGTTTTCACTAACGGCTGAGACAAGGCGTTCACTAGTAGACGCAGTAGTAACACTAAACAAAAACAGTTGCCCACTTAGCTCCACAACAGAATTTTGATGTCAGTTTTAACGGGACAGTCTGCCGAGGCAGATTTGCCTATTCTATTTGTAAAATTGCCAAAACTACCATGTCCGGTCAGAAACCCGCTGTGTGTGTCGGTTGATATGGTTTCGAAACACTGCAGCGGGTGGACATTATGACGGACGAAAGCAAAATGAAAAAAGAACAAGATGAATTGTTAATTGAATTGGTGCGAAGCCATTCAAACCCATCAAACTGTTTTTGGGATAGTCGAAAATATTGTATGAATTTTTCATTGTCACATTTAGGATGCTTATGAATTAAGTTACTAAATGTCCCTTCATTCTCTCTTTTCTTTAAAGTTTTAATTATTAGTTCATCATCTTCCTCTTCTTCAAGTAACAGTTTCATCAACATTTTTTTCAATATTTATAAAGTCCTTTGTATTTTTAATCTAACCTAATAATCGACGCCTATACCTATTGATAGCTACCAGTAAACTGACTAATTCTAGAGAAACCACTCAACCGTTACTGACGACGTGTAAACGTTAGCCGCAACGTCCAAACGTCAACGGTCGCGGCTAACGTCTGTTCAGAGAAACCAGCGCCTTAGTTCTTAATCTACTTTCCCATACTTTATGATGTTTCGACAAATGTTTCTTTTATAGTTAATGGATTTTGGGAACAGCTATGACCTTGAAAATGCCACAAAGAATATAACTAAATCTTTTTTCTTTCTCAGACTCTTTAAAGTCTTTTTACAATATTTTAGAATCGAAGATATTATTAATGTATTGGATTTTGACAAGAGCTATGCATTATGCCTATTTAGTACAGAAGTTTATGTGAAATGTTCAAGGTCATAGCTGTTCCCAAAATCCATTACCTCTATTTCTTTTTGTTTCCAGTTCTGTCATATTTCCCAGCTTTTACTACTTCCTTCAGTAACTTAACTTATTTTCATTATTAGTTACATTATGTCCAAACCATTTAAGTTATTTTATTTCTATTTTTATTATTATTTATTTAACGCTTTGGTTTTTGAATTTATGTCCATTAAAGGTCCTTGTCGATTTTATAATTTATATCATCCGGAATATATTCCTAAGTAACTATATCATTCACGAAAGTTTTCGTGTCAGGTCTATACTAATAAGTTGTCTATATAATTTTTTTAAAATCACCAAGATTTTGGGTAGTAAGCTTGAAGGAATAGAAGGAATAATTGGTATATAATAAGCAGGAACAAAAATTACTCTACTATTTCCAAGTTTTACTTCTGTTATTGAGTGGACAGCTCCATCTACATATGGATGTGACCAACTTACAGATATTTTTGTTCAATGACGTTTTCTTTCATGCTAATCTCAAGTGGTGGATTACACAGTTTTGCACTAATTTTTTCACAGTCCACTAATTTATTTTGAGAAATTAGTTTCATCTGATATAAATCTTGTACATAACTACTAAATACATCACTTTCAAAACTCTCTCATTCCTTGTGCCTTACATTAGACTTTTTTGTTGCCTGATCAAAATAAACTTTATCATGAACCTTCGAATTTGTTTTATAATAGTTTAAATTTGAATTTAGGAGAACAGCTGCAAATCTACTATATAAAATTTTGTTTTCTGAGCTTATGCATTTATCAGACTCCTTTACTGCATTGAGTTCCGTTTTCTTTTTAATGTGTTTCTGAAAAGATTCGTCGTCAAATTTCCAGTTTTTGTACGTTGTGTATGAATTTTGCGGTCGTTTATAAACCTTATAGGAAATTTACTTTCTTAATATGAGCCGCATAGCTCAGGCGGTAGAGTGTCTGACTTGCACGCAGAAGGCGAGAGATCGAATCCCAGGCGCCGGTGAGAACATCTAGATATTTTTAAAGTATCTGCAGGCCCTAGATCTAGTCAGTCTGAATAAAATGATTACCTTGGGTAGAACTAGAGGTAATAATAGGCGGTTGAAGCGTAGCACTGGCCCTATTAGCTTCCTTGTATACCGCAGGCCAAAGAGAAAGCATATTAAAGATAGTGCAAATACTCCTGACCATGGAGCTGCGCGAAGGCGAAGTCAAAATTCACGTAAAGGCAGAAAGGTTCTATTGTGTGGAATTATACAGTGCATAGTATAATGCGTTTCACATGAAAGTGGGGACTAAAGCAAATTTCGTCTACTGCGCCGTGGTCAGGAGTGCTTGCACTATATATACCCTGCTATAATCCCAATTAAAAAAAAATTATAATTTCGTAATGGTACTTAATGCTACTTACATCTTATTTTTTCAGAACTATATAAATATTTTTTCTTGGTTCTATTTTAGCTGCTTAATTCTATCGATGTCTGAAAATGTTAAAAACTAGTTTTAAATACAATTTGCCAGAAGACTGGCGCCAGTAATGTGATTTTACCTAAAGCTGCATATCCACCAAAATATGTAGTTGCCGTCTTCTGCATTGACAACTGTTTACAACTCTTTAAAAGTCACCAACTTTGTTTCTATTTCTAGTACACCAGCTTAAAATAAGTTGCCAACAGTTTGTGTAAAATTTTAGTTTGCAATTAGCTGCCTCCATAAAAGATCACTTAGTTGGCCAAAATGTCCTCAATGAACGAAGATATTATGCTGGCTAATCCAAAGTTGTGCAATGTATTATCTTCCTTTATCTTTTTGGTTGGTATAGTCTCATAACATTACTAATACTTCTCCAAGAATCCTTTTTCTTTTGATTTTTATAAATTTTATCAGTTTCTTTCAGTTAACTTGTTTCCAACTGACTAAACGTATACACCGAGCGTGTCTTTTATTTATTTAATTAACGGATATACCATTTTTACAGAAATATGACGTCAACCTCTACAAAGCTTATACATAGGTTGCGTTAATAAAAAACAAACCAAAATTAAAATCAAACAAAATTCAATTAAAGTAGTAGCTTAAGTTATTAAATAATGCTCAAAATATCTCAAATGATTTCTTAAATGTTGCTGTAGATATTCCAAATAACTCTAAACTATTGCTGTGCTCATTGGCAGTTCGTAAAATTCTTGTAATGGGTTCTTTTTGGCCATAATTCGTACTGTGGAATGGAATGTTGAAAATCTCAGTGTTACGAGTTCTTCTAGTATTAACATTAAAACTTATTAAACTTAGTAATTCTGGATCTTGAACATATCCATTTATAATTTTAAAAAGGAAACATAAATCCGCTTGACATCTTCTATCATGTAGTGATGAGATATTTAGTATTGACAGTATATCATCATATGTGTATTGCTGTCTAATAAAACCAATTTTGTAAGCACATACCCTCAAGAATTTATTTTGAACTCTCTCGATACTGTTGATGTCACTGTTATATGAAGGAGACCAAATGAGAGAACCATACTCCAAAACTGATCGAACTAAACTAATTATAACATTTTTAAAGTTTGTACTGAAAACTGATTACAGTTTCTAAGAATAAATCCTAACATTTTTAAAGCTTTAGCTGAAGTTTCGTTAATTTAGCTTTAGCTGATATTTAAAAGTTAGTTTAGAATCAAAATTTATACCTAAATCTTTAATATTATGACGTATCTCTAAAGGTACATTATTTATACAATAATCATAATTTACAAACTCTCTTGATCTTCCAAAAGTAATTTTAAAACATTTTTGTATATTTAAGTATAGCATGTTTACCTCACACCAACTAGCTAAGCTTTTAATGTCATTCTGTAATAAAGAGGCATCAACTAGGTCATTAACTATTCGAAATATTTTAAGGTCATCAGCAAACATTAGAAATTTACTATTTTTAATCACTGAGGATATATCATTAACCAACCAATAATATTTCCAACACGACTATTTCTTTTGATATTGATTTTTGTGCGACTGAAAAATATATAAAAACTATGATATGATATAAATATGAACTATATGAAAATTATGAAAACAAATTAAAAATATTTATCATGTGAGACGGAAATAGTAGGAAAAAGAATAACTTAGTCTAGTCAATGTTAAGTACTGACCTTATTAAAGTCTGATCAAGTCAAATGCTTTTATTAAAATTGTGATTTTCTACTGCTTAATGACTAACTGTATTTTTAATAGAATCTAATTTATTATTTTTTTTTATTTAACGGTTTTAAAGATAAACAAAAAGTTCAAAACCATCACCTCATAAAATACATCTCAATATATTTTGATTGTTATTTTTATGAAAAGATGACTGCCATTTTTATTCTTAATATGAAATATGTCAATTACATAACGTCATGTTTATTACA